ACTCAAAGGGTAGAACATGATAATAGGCAGACTTTCTAATACACTGAATCAAACAGTACCACTACTAGACTTAAATGAGTTCATGCATGAGCACATATTACTCACAAGAATTTCATCGTAATTTGTGATAAAACACTATAAGTAGTCTAGTAGACAACAAAGATCATGTATCTATGCCACTGAAATTCATTATACAATTGAAACTTGCTTTGGGACGTGAAAAGAAGAACCAAGATCTGAAAGATTATACCCAGACCTCTCATCTTTTAGGCACCATTGTTCAACCTTCATTCTCTTGCCTGCAATATCACGCATGTCCAAAGCAGAAAGAGCATCTTTAGCAGCCCGAACATCATAAAACTCTACAATTTTGTGATGCTTTTTGTGTGGAATTTCACAAATCTGTGAACCAGAAAAGTAACACATTCAGTCATTCATCATCATTCTCTAACCAGGACACAGGGGAGGTCTAGACAAACTTACCTCTTTGATTTCCCCATATACACCAAATATATGAAGGAGATTATCATATGAAATAGAGGATTCAAGATTGGTGACCAGGAGGACACCCTCGTTCTCTCTCTCTGAAGGATGGCCCTGCTAACAGATTGTCCATGGTCGATACAACAAAGTTGAAACTTCATTACCATGTGTCAAAATAGTTAACCTTCTAAGAAGTGTTAACATGAAAGTAAGAAGCAAAAAAACAAAAAGTAATTTAAGAAATTTCCCTGAAGATAGAAGACTGTAAGGTCACACTGCGTGTTTGCACATATAGAACAAGAACATTAATTCATCAATCAATATAGTGAATATAGTAAAAAAAAGGAAACACAATTTGAATGATGAACCTTCGAATTGAGAGAGAGAAACCTTCTTGCCTTTTTTAAGATTGTAGATAAAAAGGAGACATTTTTTCAGTAGACTAGCACAGTACTATCGCCTTACATAAGTACAGTGTTAATTTTAAGGATCCTCCAGATGGGCCTAAGCTTTAATACTTGACCTGCCGTGTGACCCATACTTTCCCATGAAACAACTTATAGAAAGTCCATTTCCCAGATCATGAATTTAAGATTCAGGTTGATGGAAGACAGTAAGAATTTGGTGGAATGGTGCTCCTTTCCAATTTAATGGGAGATTTGACAACAATGATAAGATACTAAATTATAAGAAAATACTATTAGTGGAAACACACCTAATCCTATGGATAAAAGGGATGGTTGAAGCACATAATCCTATGGAAAAAGAGAGGTTGCAGTAATATGAAGTACAAAGGGTTAAGGGTTCAAGGTAAACCAGACTGTCCAAGAAATCTGTGAACACTTAGGTCTCAGCAGTAGAATGCCACAGCTACGGATCTTGTTCTGGTAGAGTAAAGTAAAACATGAATTTGACACCTTTAACCCTAGCATGTGTAGAATCTTGTTGCTTTATTGCCTGCAACATCATAATGTCAATCTGATACTTCAACTCAGGGAGTGAAATCCAATATGGTTCTTTAAGACTGCTCAACTTAAAGGTTGACCAGTGTTCCCACAACAAACCAAACAAACCTCGTATGTCAAAGAAAAAACTAAACTACCATTTTAAATTAATATAGAAAATAAATGAAATCAAGGTCATGATGCAAAATGGGCACATGTAAATTGGCTTCGACTCTTAAGGTTTTAAAAATTTATTATCAGATATAATAGCCTTGAAAACATCACACAAACACCTAGAGCCAGTACTCCGATCATATTCCTTCCAGTAACATGACCTCTGAGCAGGTTCACTTGAAGAACCAGCAAGCAACTGACCATTAGCTTAAAGTTTTCCATGTAACATCCTGCCATGCTATACAAGGAAGTAGTTCAGAACCAATTTTTCTTAATACATATATTTGCCTCCAAAAAACACAAAAAGCAGTGAAAGGTGAGAGATATCAGTCATAGAACATCTATTAGGTTCTTTGTTTTAACTGGTGCTGAAGCTATGGCACTTACAACATTTAATGCATTTGTGGAGTTTGACTGACATAGACGCGCTTAGTTACCTACTAGTGTTGCAAGTTGAGGTCATAACCAAAAGAAACAAGTGGTGTACCCAACAATCCCAAATCCATTTGAAGATGGGTTTAAAAAGATTTTGACCAAACAATACTATTCATCTTCCTTTTACAATGGTGTTTCAAATGCAGAGATCTCGAACAAATTTTTTTTCAAGAACAAACAGAATTTGGACATCTGTGTCAGGTGGACTGTATTGTTTACGCATACAACAGTGGATGACCATTGAGTTACTAACACCTAATAAGAAGTAAGAACTAACAGCTGTGAAAATTTTCATCCTCTTCCCACAAAGTTCTGCAAATTTGTCCACTTTATCCCTTTTCCAGACGCTGCCCTAGAGCGGTGGGTAAAGGAAATATCAATAGTTATTAGTTAATACTTAATTAATAATACAGACAATGCTTACATTGTATAAGATAAAGGATAAATATCATCGTCTATCTACAACACGCGATTCTCAAAAGGAAGGCTAAGCTCAAATATTCAGGAAGAAAATATTCAAGAAGATAAAATAATATTTATAATTTTTATCCATATTACGATCAGTTAGAAGAGTTTGCAAGAAAAGGATACCTTTGAAACACAAAACTGTATATCAAGCTTCTGACCCCTGATTGACTTGGCTTGAAGAACACTTATTGCACTGTGTGCAGCTCTGATATCATAGTATGACACTATAATAAAGCCACAACGTCTATAGGATGTGCAAAGTGTTTGTATGTCACCATATTGCTGGGGAAAAAAAAATATAATATAATACATCAGATCAAAAACAAAATGGACTGAAGGATGAAATAAAAACAATCCAATGATACAAGTTCAAAATATAGCAACAAAAATACCTCAAACAGAGCCCTCAGCTCCATATCTCCAACGTTTCCATCAATATTTTTCACAAGAAGAGTTCTGGTGAGTGATTTACTTTGTGGGAGTTGACTGGCAAGAATATCATTGAATCCCATTTCTTGACCATTTACAGATCCATATTCATACTCAGAAGCTCTTTTGCAACTGAAACTATCATCTGATTCTAGTTCGATGCCCCCTATACTGCAAAATACATCATCTTCAACATCTATCCTGTTGGATGATGACACATCTCCGAGATCATGAATAACTCCAGATAACAAATCATCATCATCAGGAAGGAGATCTCCTATTGTTTGAGCTTCAATTTCTTCTAATGATTCAAAAATGTCATCTTCCGGACAGTTGGATTGAGTTGTATTAACAGATTGACCAACAAAGACATCATTTGATGATAACCTCACTGCATCATAAATGTGCAGAATAGCACAGGTATTGGATAAATTCTTATTAAGATAAAATATAGAGACTATATACGAATATGACAAAATAATAACAATTGAAAACTTATTGGTTATAATTAAATGGAAATTAAACATCAATCAAATACATTGACATCAAATAAATTTGTAAGTTTCTTTATATGCTGACAGTTAATATAAGCAAAAACAAAGCATGCAGCAGAAAAGGGTATAAAACATACATTTGTTGTTGAATGTGTCCGAGAAGGAGTCTGATAAGAGACCATTCTCACTAAAGCCTTCACTCACAGTAACTTTTTTATTTCCCACAGATAGTGATGCGGGCTGACCATAGAGCTTAGACAAGGATGCAGCTTCCTGGTCAGGAGCTCTCCAACAGTTGGCACTCACAAAGTGAGACTGATAATTATGCGGAATGTTTCTTGTCTGGTCCTTGAAATGATTACGTTGAAGCTCCAAGCCATTGACAAAATTCCCTCCCACAGGGAGGACCTTTTGTAGAGGTGATGAAGAAACTGGCTTGCCTCCTGAAATGAATGACATAGCCTCTAGTCCTACAAATGTGGAATGCCTTCAGTCTAAGTGGAGAATAGATGAATACAAAGGAACACAAAAAAGAAAAAAATCATTGTTTCTTGGTCTAAACAGGAAACCATATTAGACCACTCACCATAAAGAGAATACAAATGATATCAATAATGCATCGAAGGCCCGTGGATATTCATACCAGCAGCATCCTGGGTCAACTTAATGTTGCATGACTTGTGTAAACTCAATATCTTAATTAATATGATGTCCATGAGATAGCAATGAACTTGGTCTCTGCTAGCAACATGTTTGATTAACTGTTTGAGCATAATACATTAGAACTCAATGGACATGACAGCAAGAAACATCCCTTAATAAATGGGAAGTTCATTCGAACCTTAGTCAGATACCACAGCAAAGGACCCTACCACCACCAGAACTCTGAAAACTGTGATGGGGGCTGAGGGTTATAATTTATATCATAATAATATCCAAAACGGATTTGAGGTTAATTTCTTGCAACAAAAGTTGCATCTACAGTCGCAGCATGCCAAACCTAGTGTACAAAACAACATAAACCTCAATAACTGAATCCTGTATTGACCCCTTAATAACCTTTTCTTGTAGCTTATTGGGCTGCCAGTAAAATACTCTTTGCGTGTGACTCTACATAACTTCTTACACTAATAAAATATATTCTACATATTAAGATGACTTTTGTTTGACAGTTCAAGAAAGAGAACTACCTTTATTCCACCTTATTTGCTCAGCTACAGTTAACAAATTCCAGTTTTAAACCACCATTACTCAGAATGATATAATGTATTTTCCCTCAACTTTTTAACTTGCCACTTTTAGATACCACTCGCTACTTTTTTGTAGGGCCCCACAAAAAGCAACCGCCATTTTCATTTAACCTATTTTGCATTGGTACGGGTACGGATACGATGCAGGTATGGGACATGGCAAATTTGTAAAAGGTAGGGTGTAGGATCACGACTATAGAAATATTTATATACACATATATTGTATAATGGAATTAATAATTATACTAGAACAAGGATGAGAATTAAAAGTCCTATAACAATTTTATGTTTCTTTTATTATGTGGATTATAAATTGAAAAATCACTAGTTTCTGTACTACACATTGAAACGACCGTTCAAAATCATAACTTAGAACCTAATTTATGTTCAATGAGTTTCAAGAAGTGGGTGTGAAGTGTATAGGATATATGTCCAAAAAATGTGTGACAAGTGTTTTAAACTAAAACATGTATTGTATAATTGAGTACATGCCCGAATAAATGCATGCATTTATACAAGGAGTGCCCAAGGAGTATGTGTTCGGGTACGGGTACGTGTCGGATACGGGTATGGCTTCAGATTAGAAGTACCTGAGTAACATAGCATTTAACATATGTATTTTGTGTTTTCACAATGCTTTCATTTCCTGCTGCTTGTTTGACATTCTATTGCAAACAAATCTTTACTATTCCAATGAATATGGGATTTGCATAAATTAGATTTGTCGAGAAGTACACTGAGATTTTCTCCATTACAAAAGGACAAGCATGACCTCATATCATAATAAAGTGCATTACTTTCAGAATTTAGACTTTCACTGACAGTAGGGTTTGACTAAACTTTGGCTTTGCCACAAACCAGACAAAAACGAAACAAACTTTACCCTTTTCTGTGCTGATTAACAGGAGCAGCTTTACCATTCCCACGCTAAAACGTGAACAATAGAGAGAAAAGCAACCAACAACGGTATTATACACAGGATTGTTACAGTTTCTACCAGCAAAGATTTCTAGTAATTGAGATACAATCTAGCAATCATGAACCAAGAGAAACAGTGTAATCAGAACTCTCAAAGAGAATTGGTTACAACATGGAGAAGTTGATGCTTGCAAAATTTAAATGTATGTGAAAGCAGTGAAAAAATTGCAGACAAAGATGAATTTGTAAAGACGAGATCGAGAAATAGCAATAAATGGGGTGGAACATAAATTTAACAAGGCTCACCATGGCGATCAGGCATGGAAGCAGTCCTCCAGAATGCACCTTGTTTCTGCAAGTAATAGATAGAAGAAACGAGTATTTAAAAATACGACTGCCAAAATTGATGATTGATCAAACCCAAACAGGAACAAGTCACAAAAATTGATTATTGAAAGAATGGACAAGATGAACACTGTGGCACTAGGGAAGAACCACAAATCAACTGTCAATTAATACATTCAAATAAAGGGAATTATTGGGGAAAATTAAATCTATTTCACAATAAGTAAAGTGTGAATGCTTCAAAACATTATCTGTGAAATAAACTGAAATGAAAAGGGCATTCTATGGCAAAGCAAAGCAATCCAGAAAAGGGAGATAAATAGATGTTTTACACAAATATAAACGTAATTACTCCATGTTCTTATTAAGAAAAAGATCATGGAGGTTGACACAGTGCCTTCATTAGGGAAGACCTACCGCTAGAGATAATCTATCAATGTTTAGAAGGGATATGTACCAGCTTATAAAAAGAACCTTCTCCGCAAATATTGTCTTAATGAAAAAAAAGATGAAGGTGTATGTCTGCTTGATGAAGAAGAGATGCCAGAAAGTGACCGGATTTGTTGCTCGCAAGGAAATATATGAAAAAGGAAAATAAAATGGTATTCCTAGAAGGAGAATCGTTTGTAGGTATAGATTGATTCGCTAAAGATTCAGTAGCTTGAATGCATGAGCCAAGATCCACTCAAGGAAAAAAGGATGAATTTCTGTTCGAACCATAAGAATGGACTGCGCTCAGTCATGTGGTAGGTCATTCGGATGGAATGAAGTTCAAGGGGCTCACGAAAACCGATTTTCCAATTTGGTCATAAGAGAATAACCACCAAAAGCAGCTTGAAAGCCACATAAGGAAAACAACTAGCTTTTGGTTTACTGCAATGATCCGGAAACTTTAGTTTTTGGTTTACTGCTATGATCCAGATAACAGAAGAAACTTCTGACATTTCCAGGCACTTTCCAACCAAACAAGTAATAGAAACTGCTGCTCAAAAATTCTAAAAACGGAAACATGATTAGACATACACATTGAATAAAACCAACCGATCCAAATCTAAACAATTTCTACCGACACAAAAGGATAGAATGACGTTAAGTTAAGATGCCAGTAGCCTAAACGACTAAATTACTTAAGAAGAAACAAGAACTAGTTATCGGCAGCAAGCATCAGACAAAATATACCTCAGAACGAAACCGCATTTCCTCAGAGAATAAAGACGACGGCACTGATGGCCTGTAGAATGAGGATATATGCCTCTGCTCCATGATATCAGACGGCATCTTGCAGCTCCAAACCATTCACCGAAATAAAAACTCAACCTTTGTTGAAAACCTGCTCCCTGGCTAGTATCTAATGGTTGGAATCCACCAAAATAAGCAAATTTAGAAACAGGATAAGCAAATTAAATAGAGATATTGCTCCCAATTTATCACACAAAGCAGTGATATTAGATCAAACAAAATTAGGTCTGTATTGAAGATTAGACATATCACAAATTTTCAGGATGGCTACACAACTGAAGATCTATGATCTAAAAATTCTAAAAGACAGAAAAACATTAAACTGGAAAGAAAAAAATGCTGGGATCTCAACAAGAGAGGAGCAGTGGCTTGGGGGAAAAACATTTTTTGGTCAGTTTGCCAGCCATAATAACTTGCTATAATCACAAAATTAAAATTTTGAACAGGATGATAAAATCCTATATCACATGATTGCTAGAAAGACAAACTCAAGTTACCTCCTTTTTTTTAATTTAAGGAACTTAAAGCTACTACTAATTTGCCAAATTGAACTTCGCTGGATAAAATACTAGAACAGCAAAATTCTTTCTTAAAAAAAGAACAAAACGAAGAAGCTTTTTAGGTTGATTTTAGCAATTTATTTAAAATTTCAGAAATTCAAACCTAAAGCTGAAATTTTTAGAATAACGTGCCCAGTTCAAAAGAGGAGCAAATATAAACGCCCAATTTCATAGGCGATCACCAACAACCTACTACACAAACTAAAATAGAATGAAGTTGACAAATTTAATGAAAAAAAAGAACACTTTTTCAGACAAAAAGATAATATAAAAAAGGAATCTGCAGAACTATAGCTACAGAGAAATTGTCCTTTTGCCTCGAACCCCACAACGATCTGCAGAATTGTCGTAAAAAGGTGGAAAAAAAAGAAAAGAAAGGTTTTTATTAAAACAGATAGACAATCAATCATCGTCATTGGATTTTTTTTTTTTATAAACACACAAAGATGAGGAATCTTCAGGGTATGATTAAGATAGGAAAAAAGTTAGAAATCCAACGCAAAATTCCCAATTGAAGAAAAAAAGGGCGGAATACTCACTGTAACATTTACCTCGAAAATTAGACAGAACTACAAAGAACAGAGACATGTCTAGAAAGGAAACCTAAGTAAAGGTTGAAGCTTTATACGTATCACGAAATTTAAAGAAAAATACCGCCATATTTAAGCTAGGATCACTAATTAAATAAACATATCTGCACTAAAAAACAAAATAAAAAGATTACGACCCAAAATACCGCCTACTAAAATTAATTAAAATTAATTCCCAAAAAAAAATTAAATTTTATTAAAAGAACATATCCCAAAAAAACGCATTAATTATGCAGGATATTCAAATTAATGATTTCTCGAGAAAACGGCATAAAATAAAATAAAAACGAAGTAATCATGAAAATGTAAGCTCCAATCCCAATCAATTACCAAAAACAATAAAAAAGTTATAAACTTTTATTTAAAAAAACGTAAATTCAACAAAGAATTCTCACAAAAACACAATTAGTTACTTCCAAAACCAGAACAAAATGCATCAATCTAGAAAATTTCTGACCGAATTCCCAAAAGAATAGCAGAATGGTTACCTCCTCAGCTGCAGGCCAAAGCTCCGACGGTAAAAAAAAAACACTGAAATTTTAGGGCGATTTGAATTAAAAGCAAGGGATCGAGCTTTAAATTCAGTAGCTTGCGGCGCACGTTAGCACAGAGAAAGAGAGAGAGAGCGGGAGAGTTTCGGCGAAGGAATCTCGTCAAAATTCGCGCCGCGCGCGCGCGAGAGAGAGAGAGGAGCCC